GTTGGGATACGTTCTCTCGTCTATTATCTGGCTGGACCACATCGTATCCCACTACTTTAAAATGTATATCCCAATTTGGTAGTCACTTATCACTAGAACTGTCTTCGCTTGGTCAGAGGTACAGCACCAAATTACTTTATTTTTCATAATGTTTAGGAGTAAGCTGAGTAGTTTGGGGTCATCGAAAGTAGGGCACTGTAGATGCTGTCGGCTAGAGTGAGCAGCAGATTGCAACTTTGTCGATCGAATCCCTGATGGTTGTGCATATTTGTTTCGAACAGAATTAGACACACCGTATGACTCAGCTATCCGTCTCAGGTACTCAGTTAACGGAATAAAGTGCTGTAACCATGTCAACAAAGCAGACAATAATCTGTCCCGGGTAACCTAAGTGAATCCCGAAAATGCCCCACTGCATGACGTTTTCATGGAAACATCCACTTCCAGCTCTGAACCTGCGTTCTCGAGCCACGCAAACTAAAACTTCATAGTGCCTTCATTGGAATTTGCGGAATTTTGTGTGGCGACCCTGAACTGCTGTTGGGGACCGGCCTGTATTCAAAATCCCCCAAAAAAATTCATGGAGAATGTCCAACTACAGTACTACGATCCATGCTACGGAGTCCCCGGGAATCCACGCACTTCGGACTCCGATCCATTGGTGCGTTCTCGTAGTATGCGAGCTGAACTACTCAAGTTGGAACAAACCCTTGGTATTGAATACTGGAATGTGCAAACTTTTCTGGACCCTTGTACACCAAGTCTGACCGCATGTAGTCTTCATCAGTACCTGTCTGAAGTCCGAATCACCGACTGAGACGTGCAGGGACTGAAGATCCTGGGAGTCCGCTCCCATTTCACTCTGTACTACAGCGGTCCATACGACTCTTCTGGTGGACGCAATGTGACTATTGCCCTCTCTGGATAAGTAAACGGTGCACTACTTGCATGGAAACCAGACAATGACCGAATGGCTTACGTTCGACTAAAGGGTCACTTTACGACCATCTCTGTCTGTGTACGCACCAACATAACCTGCCGAGCAACGCGATGAGAAGGCCTTTTTCTCGCAGCTGCTGTAGTTACCTGTAAAACCCCTTCGCCGTGGCCTGGAATGACCAGACTAGACCCGACGACCCATCAAACGGTCTCCTTATTGGTCTTTTTGGTTCAGCGTTCAGCAGTTCAGTCCACGATAGCAGATGAGTGCGTGCTGCTAAAACTAGCAACACCCACGGGTTAATGTTTTCGTTCGCACGCACCTGACAATTCACCTCTAATCTGTACCAAAAATGTCATGCTAAGCGTAAATTGTAAGTTAGAGTCTTTAGTCCTCCGTTTTTGTCTTGACACCGACTTCCTTCTTCTCTGAATCGGGACGATTCCTTTCCACTTGGTTTCGATCTTGTTAATTATTGGACGACGAGACAAGTGCAAAAGCAAATGAGTATTATGATAAGGTGATTAAAAGATTGAACCGCTAAGATCGTGTTTGTACTATTAGTCCATGGCGACGGTAATATCGTGTTGGCATGGTGCATTTTCTACGTTACCTGCACCTGCTACCATCGCGAACACGCCTATTGTTGCTGCTCTCGATTTCACGAGCTGTACTTTTCCGCACGTGACGATCTTAAGAGCCCGATCTGCTGTTTGCTTTTTTTCCATATTACGCTTTGTTCTGTAGTCATTTAGAGTGACTCACTATTTGCATGGTATTACAGTGAATGGGCTGTTTTAGTCAATTGTAGAACGGATTTAACTAAAACCTTGACTGATATTGGCATGTTATAGAAAGCCTCACTGTAGATTTCAAGGCGATCTGACAGTTCTAGTTGTGCTCATTTCATCAAACTCTAAATTCATCCGTACGATCTACCTGATATTTAGTGCATTTTCACAGAATTAAACGGCCCCGTTGATGAGGTTTTTTAAAAAGTACCGATAAATGTTACCTCTTCTAATTGCCACCCCACTTTGCATTGTTGTTTCCATAGTTTCCTCTAACTCATTTTAACTACCTCGTTTTCCTTCATAACAGGTGGGTCTTAGCGACTCTTCGTATTCTTGGACGTGTAATGTGGATCGACGCCAAGGATTTGTGTCGATTTATTGTCGCCTCGCAGGACACTGAAACCGGAGGCATTGCTGATCGTCCGGGCAATCATCCAGATCCATTCCACACTCTCTTTGGTCTAGCAGGTCTCAGTCTCATTGCTCGGCCCTCCTCTGGTGCTCGAATTAACGATAGGTCCTCCTCCTGTAATGGATCCGTGCCCTCCAGTGATGCCAACTCCACTCCAGAGAATGTCCTTTCAACTGCTCTGCATTCACTGCGGGATATAAACCCTGTGCTTTGTATGCCACAATATGTCATCGACAATATTTCAGTTCAGATTCAGACTCTGTGACTCCCTTCTCCCTGCCCATTTCTTCTTCTTATCCCTCGTACACATTTTCTTCCTTCTCCTTTGAATTTGTTCGAAAGCATCCAGTACTTGAATCGTTTTTTGCACAGTGTCTCGCCTCCCCTGACGTTTCTTTTTTACATTCTGCTTAACGAATTTCTAAAAGCTACTCCGCCGGCTGTTTGAAGCATTATGTTCGCGTGCCAATGTTGTAAATTGCCAATGTAACATCTTTAATTTTGTCAACTTTATCCATTACGTGTGCTGCCTGGTGGCTTGTGCTCTCCTTATTATTTTTTTTACTTATTGCCTCTACACGATAGATCAAACCATACTTTAGATGGAATTTGACAGGCAGCAATCATGGTAGAATTCTCCGCTCCGCATTTCGAGGGCTTCGTCAATCATCGCAGGCCTGTTAACCACGTTAACGGATGCCGTACCATTTTCGGTGCGGTTTTCCGTCTGGGCCGGAGGAGCAGTTAAGAAAAAGAAAAGCGGTTGTGGCCGTGCTGTTATAAACCTCGTCTTTGTGCAGCAATAGGATAGTTCAATTACGTAGACGTCGTGAGATTGAAATAGTAGGAGGGAATGGACAGTCTCCTTGATGTATTGGGTATTATGTGCTCGTACTTGCCACAAGAACGCGAGCACCTCTTAGTTCCTGTGTAGGGCTTTCAGCAAAATATTTGCTGTGCCAGTGACGTCATCATCGGGTCGCAGTGCAGCCTTTTGTGTCCTCGCTGTTTATATGGCCGTAGATTGGCAGTTCGTTTTTTGAAATTTGTTGGGCTAAAAATGGACTTGATTTATATTGCGCTGTGGGTTCAATCTAAGCAGTCTGAGAGATCGAGTTCTAGGTGTATCATTTGCCAGCTTATACCCAAGTATAGGAGAATCTGGGTTCTAGTTGCGGACCTTGCTAGAGAATTTAAAGGTGTTTAGACAACTCTTATACGAAGTTTCCTGGGGATTTTAAGTAAAATGACGCGATGATTGTCTCGCTGAATGATTAATCGGTGGATTTTCACGGAATTACGCGGCATCTTTTGGTCTTTCCATTGATTGAGGACGATATTTAAAATCTAAGATCAGATCTCTGTGTTTGTGCTCGGTACCCAATCGTAGTCGCCAGCAATTTCCTTCAAATTACTGCCTTCTTATAGATTTTTTGATGTGATTTCTGTCGGGCTACAGTTATAGTTTACTGAATGCCCTAACAGGAGGCAGTGAAATATATGTTGCTAAACTCGTCCTTTTCGTAGGAAATGTTTATTCTTAGTTTACTCACTCCTTAGCCCAAACTACTCTTGCAAACTCTAGTACTTTTAGTAATGGTTAATTGTGCACCAATCTGTTTCAGGATGTACCCATCCTGTTTACAGTGTTCGTTTTGCGAGCTAATTGGAACCCCAATTATGTATGTTACTCGCTAACTTTTAGCTCGCAAAACGAACAATCAAAAACCAATTACCTCGCATAATGAACAATCACAAACCAATTAGCCCGCAAAACGAACAATCAAAACAGGATGGGTGCATCCTAAAACAGATTGGTGTACAATAACCCATTACTATCTAGTCCCGAGCACAAACCGACAATACGGCGGACCCGTGGCTCAGAGGTAGAGCGTTCGCCTCTGGCCCGAGGGACGCGGGTTCGAAATTCGAGTGTGGCGGCAATTTCCGCTGCTACACTGGAGTTGAGCTACCACCACCTGATGACGCCCAATGAGGCAGAAAAGGCCTTCGTGAGTGTGCTCTCCGTTTGTCGGTGAGTACCATTCTAGTACTTTTTTTTCAAAAAAACGGAGTAGGTACAGCACCGGTAACTTGCGTCTTAATTTATTTGCAGTGATTTGGGCTTGCGCGGCATCCATCGCTCTTTCCTCAATCGCCTTTCTCTGATAAATTAGATTGCCTATCTCATTAGATAGGAATCGGCTCGATCAATTTACTTAAGTAAGGTTGTCATACTGACTATAGTGCAGCCTTATCTCGAGATATTTCAGGCACGCCAAGATGCCAGCATTTGAACGAGTTTTTTCTTCTGAGTACCTGCAAGGAGTATACCCTGTACAGATGGCTACATAAGTAATATCTACCTTCTCCTTGGCCTTAACTACCTTTATAAATTCAAATATACTTTATAGTGAAAATGCAAAGAATATTCTTTCCTGTACTCGTTTGGTAGCACATTACATCTCCAAATTTTATGTTTGAAGAA